ATGATATTTCCAAAACTATCTCTCCTTTTGCCATAAAAAGCTGATACTGACTAAGTAATATATAGGAAACATATTAAATGATGTATAAACATAAAATATTTTTTTTTTTTATTCATATGTGTTTAGTCGTAGGAAGGAGAATGAAACTTAGTGTTTTAGTTGTGTGCTGTACAAGATTCTAATTGTTGAAACACAAAAGCAATTAACTATGCTAAACGCTAATCTAAAAAACTGTGTGTTTAGATTGGAATTCTCTAAATGTCTGAATTTCAAGTAAAAAAAAAANAAAAAAATCAAAAAAGTATAAAATTAAGGAATTTTATCTTTTTTTTTCCTATAGTGTATAGAACAAAAAATTAGACAATTTCACATTTGTAACATTTATTTTTGTATACTGAATCTCTTAAAATAATGATGCTAATTCAAAACAACATTATATAACTATTAATTGGAAATTTTAAGATTTTTACCTGGAAAACATGGAAAAATCAGGGAAATTTAAAATCTGATTTGAGTGGCCACCCTGGTTCCTATCTATTACTTTTTTTTTTCCACACGGTCGATCACTTCAAATAACTATTAATTGGAAATTTTAAGATTTCTACCTGGAAAAGTGGAAAAATCAGGGAAATTTAAAATCTGATTTGAGTGGCCACCCTGGTTCCTATCTATTACTTTTTTTTTTCACACGGTCGATCACTTCACTAAAACAAATTTCCTCAACTACTTAGGAAAACAGTGAAAGGAAACGAAGGTTACCCACAAGATAGCCAGATCTATCATAGATGGAGATTCATGGTGTTCGATTGATGTCAGATGAAGAAAATGAAGGGTTGATGTACAACAGACTGTAGTGCTAAGGTAGAAGTGCTGAAATATCTTTAGTAAAATATCATGTTAACTACTAAGGATGCTTTTGTTTCTTTAAAGAAAACATTTAATAATTTTAAAAATTCGTACCAAATAAAAATTCCTCTTCCAAATTCGAATTTCCTCCCTCGAAATTTTCTTCCGAACCTCGTTAACGCAAAATTGGCGGGACTATCATAATTATTTATGTTAACCGAAGTTCATCTTATCCCATACATTATGAAAACAATTTATTATGTACTATTAATACATATCATGCACTACGCTTATGTGCCAATTAAAATGTACAATTTAAATACGCTACATTTTAATTTAAGTACGCTTATGTACAATTTAAAATAAGCTTAAAAATTTTAATAACTGTATTTAACTATTTTACTTATTTGCCCATCTACTACTCCTAACAAATGTGGATAATGGAAATAGCATTCCTCAAAAGGAATAATTGGCGCATTATGCACATGCTTCTTATCAGTGTTGTGACCTTTCATGTAAAGCAATATTCAGAAAGAAATTTTCATGTCAAATATTCTGTAAAATTATTCAATAATTTATTGCTGACTCATGGGACCAAACATATATTTCATGTAAAGCGATATTTCACCCTAAGTGATTTCGGATTAATGAGGTTTGACAGTATTTCCTTTTTTTCATATGACAGAACTTTGATATTTATACCTTTTTCGTTCATGTGGGATATGATAAACACAAAAGAATAACAGATATTGTAGTCAACATATTTACAACTAACTTCGTAACTACCCTTGGAAATTCTGTTCTACTTTAGAACAGAGAATTCCTTTTTTGATTCTAGTTACTGTTTTACCTTTTGCCTGGCAATGTATTCATGTCATGATGTCTTATAGTAATTGTCGCTTGTCTTGATGATATTTCTTGATTTTATTCATTAAGCATCAAAAATATATCGTAACTGGTTTTATATATTTACTTTATATATTATATTTAAAAGTATAAGTTTTATATATTGTATTCAAAACTTAATTTTAATTAGCCTGAGCAATTTCAAGAAGATTTGTTCTTGACACTGCTGCACCTACTCCATCACTTAGAGCTAAAGAATGGCTGAATGGAAAAAACAGAAATCCTATTCTGATATCCATGTATGTAGGTATGGTAATAGTCATTGTATGTTTTGTAATAACTCCTGGTAAAAAATGAAAAAAAAAAAAATTAACTGCATAGCTGCCAGCTTTCATGAGAAAAGATTGGAGGATTCCTAACTTTTGGGGAAATCTTTTTTGCTCATAGGAAATATTCAAGTCTTACAAATTTGTGAATTTTTTTTAACAATATCAAAAACTTTTACATTTTTGCAACTTTTATTTTTATTTTATATATTAATACAAATTCTACGTTACATTTTCATTCAGTTAAGTTTTAGTAAAGGTTTTAACTGTGATTTTTATTTAATCAAGCATTCAGATACATTTTTGAAGCAACAGATTTAAAATACCACTTNGGCTGGTAATTTCTTACGCATGTTTATTTTATAAGGTGTATTGATATTCATTTTTCACTTTTTTTTATTGATAAAACTTTTTTTCGCAATAATTGAATGCTAGACATTTTTAATAAATGTATAATTCTTGTGCATTTAATATCACTATTTTGACGATGACTTAAAAATTGTCATAATAGCAGATTTCTCTTTATGCCATACTTTTTAAAGCTTTTACTGTATTCATAATTCCATACTTAAAAAAAATCTTTGTTTCTGATTTGGAATTCATTCAAAAGTTAAAAAAATATCTGTTATAAAGCAAGATTTTATACAATTGAATATATACATCCCACTCTAATTATAAAAACTGAATTAATAATTTTAGTGATTTAAATAATTAGAGTACAAAATAAATTATTTCTGCATGAGATATATGCTCATATTTCTAAAGTAACTTGATTAATTTTCTTCAGTATTTTGTAAAATGGTCTGAAAAACTGCTTGCAAACTGTGTAATTTTTAATTTTTCTTAAAAATATATTCTTGAACCATCATAGTTTTTTGCAAATTTAAGAAGGGTTTTTATTATAAATATATATATATTGTCTAATTTAAATATGTTTAGATTTTGGCTGTTTTATTTTTTAAATATTTCTTTTGTCTTAATACTTCTGGATAAATAATTTAATACTACTATATTTGCATTACTTTTTTTTTGTTTTCTTTTATTATTTAGATTTCTTTTTTTTAATTTCTTACGGTTTGTGTAAATAAAAGCTTTTAATTTTATTTTGAAAATTCATTTATTCCGTAGATGTTGAAAATTTTTATTTTTTATTTTAAGTAAACTTATTTGTTTGATTCTTGTACATTTGCATTGTTTTGCAATAATTTGTTTATAATCAATCTTTGAACCAAGTGGAATATTTTTCTAACTTGTTTCTAAAATTATTTAACAAGAATTAACTTAGAAGCTGGAATTGCTGACATGCGTTTTTTAATACTTTTATTTTTCCTTTAGGTTCTAAAGTGGTTATTTATTTGATATTTTTTAATTCGAAATATATTCTATATATTCTTCCTAATTTATTTTTTAAAAAAAATGTGGTATTCATAAAGAACAGTTATTTTTTATATAAGTTATTTTCACAAGTAATTTAAAATAAGAACATTACAGAATCGAACTCTGATAATGTTTTTAGATTTGATATTCCTTTTTTCTCTTCACTAAGAATGTTCTTTTTATATTGACAACACTTCAATATTTGAAGAAGAAAAAAATTTCTCCTATGCAGCTGTAAAGTTTTACATTTATCTAAAGTTTCTTATTCTCTAGGTTTACGGTAAATTTTAGTTAAATTTTAAATAACTGGTAGGTTTTTAGACTCTTATTAAAAAAAAAGAAAAAACATTTGAAAAAGTTTTTTTTAATTTTTTCATATGTCTTAAATACATTTTAGAGAGGGATGTGAACACTGCAAATAATGACATTTTTTAATTGTGTTATATTTGTGTTACTTATTATAATATTAATTACTTGTAGGTTTCATCTTCACTGTGTTTCTTCTTGCAATAATTCAACTGCTGGAAAACCTTGATCAACTTGAGTAATCATGAAACAACCTGGGAGAGAATGAAAAATGCTTTGAATACCTCTGCAGTAAGTTCTAAATAATATGAAATTTGTAAATTTCTGTATCACATATGCACTTTAGAAAACAATTGTTCCACAGATAACCTAGATGATGTACAGATTAACTTGAGTAACTTCCTTTTTAAGTACACTTCAATAATTTTCTTTTCAAAATTCATTCAATTACTTTTGCAAAATTGTACTGTATTATTACATACAAAAGCTTCATATACCATTTACTTGTTGCTGAACTTTATTCAGTTCCCCTTACTATCATGCTCAATATTCACTATAATCTGGTACAAAACAATTTTTCAATTGATTATATAGAATTAATTGATCATTAAAGCACACTATTTTGTGCTAGTTTACTTATGCAAATGTTTTAATATTTTACAAATTAATTTGGGTTCTTCCTTAACATTTTATTGAACATTATCTGAATCTAAAAGTCATTCTCAGTCAATTAGGAATTCACCTCATAATTAACTTAATGTTAATATTTTTTATATTAAAATTATAGATTAAATTATACAAATCAATGTCTAGCAATGTAGAAACTTTTAAAACAAGAATTTAGTTACAGTTTTAAATTGCCATTTCTTTGGAAAATGTAATTACTGTTTCCTCACATAAATACTTTAGATACATTAAAAGAATACATTAAGAAAGTAATTACCATAAATCATAAATACATTAAGAAAGTAACTACCTTTTTTCTTATAAATAAATAATATTTTAAAATAACATAGAAAATATTTTAATTGATATTTCATTGAAAAGTAGTTATTTAATTTTAGTATATTTTATGCCTATGCAACCAGTAAACCTTTAATGACTTATTATTTATGTTTTGAAGAAATTGATGATGTGTGTCATTTTTAAGTGTTTTGTGTATTATGCACAAGTTTGCTGATCCGCACTTTGTGAGCCACTCAATTCTGTGGTTAATCGACAGTTTACTCTACAGTTAACAAGCATCAACAAGTAACTAAAATTGAAATTGCTAACTTTTGCTTTGTGTATAAAGTTTTTTTCCTTTTTTTAAAGGAACCAAATATCTTTTTATTATGTATATAATAATAAAATATTAATAATTAAAATATTCTAAATTCTTTTGGTGCAAAAAGAAAGAAAAAGAATATGTTAAGCAAACTTCAGATGAAAATTATGAAAACAAAAATACTTTAAGTTTTGAGAAAATATGTTTTTTTTTCAGCTCATCATTTTTTTTTTAACAAATTTTGTTTTAAATCAGAACTATCTGTGGGACACAAAACAAAGTGTATTCATAAGTTATTTAAACATGTTTAGATAAATTATTTTAGCTTGTTCTTTTTATTTTAAAATTTTGTATTATATTTACTGACTATCAGGGCCTTATTATCGCACGGGCCTACGGGGCATGGGCCCAGTGTCTGATGGGGCACTAAAGACACAAAATTTAAAACCTATAAAGAGCCATTTACACTGCATCCAATTTCCGAGATGCGCGCGGGAATGTTTTCAACAACAAACTGCTTACGCATGTCTGAATTTTATGCAATGAGAACGCTCCCTAAAGAAGAAAGCGATGCAGCTTGATGCAGATACCTTTTATAGTGGTATCTTTTTCAGTATTTTACATTTTTGAAATGTTCAATTAATTATACATAGCTGCCAACTGTACTGGATTTTGCCAGCTTCTCCTGGTCTACAGGTTTAATAAAAAT